GAGCTTATCCTAAAGTTTTTCTACTTCAAAGGTAGACAGTTACTAGCATTTGCACTCAAAATATTTCATTCTAGAGTGATAGTTCAGATTTACATGGAGCTGACATCTGGAGCAGGTGAGTAATCAATATGCCTTCCGGTATCTCCCTTGCAAACTCCCTTCTGACTAATTTTAGCTTTTAATGACTTACAGTTTATCTCCACTTTTAATGAGCATTTAAACAGGAAATGTACATGCTGGAAAGTATTGCATAAGCCTCCAAAATATTCTTATTTCTAATCATGCTGTTATATTCCAGGTAGCCCAGGCGGGGATATTCTTTAAGGCAGGGCTTTTCAACCAGTGCTACGGGTACCCCCTGTGGTACATTGGCACCTGGCAGGTGGTATGCGACCATCCTAGAAAAGTGGTAGCGGGGGAGGGGAATGAGCTGAACCAATGGCAGCACCGCACAAGCCCGAGCGAGAGATGGCTGGAGCTGCAGGGCTGTCAGGGCTCAGCGGAAGCGCCAGGATCAGTGCCGCTTTCCAGCTGATTGGTGCTTCTTCGGGGCTGTCAGGGCTCAGTGGAAGCGCCAGGATCAACGCCAGGCTCCAGTTGGAGCTCGGCGCTGATCCTGGTGCTTCTGCTGAGCCCTGAAGAAGCACCAATCAGCTGGAAAGCGGCACTGATCCTGGTGTTTCTGCTGAGCCCAGAAGAAGCGCCGATCAGCTGGAATGTTGCAGCATCTCCAGGGTCTTATGATTTACATTCAGATGCTTGGCAACTGATTCATATTTATGACGGTCACAGTGTCCCAGGGTCATGTGAAGTGACCAAAACCTGCTGTAACCACCCAGCAAACGGGGGGAATAAAAACCAAATACCCCCCACCCCACCCCCACTGCCAATCCTCAACAGAAATGCTCACAACAATGAAAACCTCGGACAGGAGGAAGAGCGCCGCTGGGCGGGCAGGCAGGTGTCTTGCTCGGCTGTAGCTTGGGGGGCACTTTTTCAGTGCCATTGTAACTTCAAACAGTCACTAAGCGAACTGTGGTAAATCGAGGACTACCTGTACTTTATCACTTTTTTCCTTTTTTTGTCATCAAGATTTTGACACCTTGCTAGGCGACTGGTGGTACTCGGATACTACCATATCCTAAAAGTGGTACAATGGGTGAAAAGGTTGAAAAGCTCTGCTTTAAGGGATTATGCTGGACTATTTAGCTACCAACTTGTCAGCTTCCCTGAAGTCCATAAAAGGCCATTTAGATACCCATTAGGGATATGGCAGCCCTTTTTCAGCTGTATATTTGTGACTTTTGTTTGGGGGTGTGTGAAAACTCTTCAGACCAATTTCCAACCTTAAAGCTTTCTTCCCCAAAAAAATTTGGTCCCTTTTTATTATCTTTTGGCATTATATGTTGATTCTAAGGTAGAAATGGGAGCAGAAGGATTCTGAGAAAGAACACCTCCATTACAATCTTAAAAGTACCCCATTTCAAAATAGGCTGAAATCACACAAAGTTTAATCACTGTCCTAATATGAAATCAGGGCTACAGCAGCCCACTATTGCTTTCCTGGGACGTTCTTAAATTTTAAAAAGGATGTCTGGATGTAGAGTTATATGTTGTTTACAAAGACAGCAATGAAGGGATGGAGAGAGTGATAAGAAGAATATTACACATGACTTAATAAGATGCCTGCACCAGGACTATTTCACTACTGTTCTGACTAGCACTGGTTCTCTAGGACAGGGCTTTTCAACCTTTTCACCCATTGTACCACTTTTAGGATATGGCAGTATCCGAGTACCACCAGTCGCCTAGTAAGGTGTCAAAAACTTGATAAAAAAAAAAAGGAAAAAAGTGATGAAGTACAGGTAGTCCTCAACTTACAATAGTTCACTTAGTGACTGTTTGAAGTTACAATGGCACTGAAAAAGTGCCCCCCAAGACACAGCCGAGCAAGACACCTGCCTGCCTGCCCGGCCGCGCTCTTCCTCCTGTCCGAGGTTTTAATTGTTGTGAGAATTTCTGTTGAGGATTGGCAGTGGGGGTGGGGTGGGGGGTGTTTGGTTTTTATTCCCCCCATCTGCTGGGTGGTTGCAGCAGGTTTTGGTCGCTTCACATGACCCTGGGACAATGTGACCGTCATAAATATGAATCAGTTGCCAAGCATCTGAATGTAAATCACAAGACCCTGGAGATGCTGCAACATTCCAGCTGATTGGTGCTACTTCAGGGCTCAGCAGAAGCACCAGGATCAGTGCCGAGCTCCAGCTGGAGCCTGGCGCTGATCCTGGTGCTTCCACTGAGCCCTGACAGCCCCGAAGAAGCACCAATCAGCTGGAAAGCGGCACTGATCCTGGCGCTTCCGCTGAGCCCTGACAGCCCTGCAGCTCCAGCCATTTCTCGCTCAGGCTTGTGCGGTGCTGCCACCAGTTCAGCTCATTCCCCTCCCCTGCTACCACTTTTCTAGGATGGTCGCGTACCACCTGCCAGGTGCCAATGACCCACAGATGGTACCCGTACCACTGGTTGAAAAGCCCTGCTTTAGGACATTAAGTGGAGATATTTCACATTTTCCTCTAACTGAAGAGAACAGTGATCAACAGTGAACTGGAATTTTCACATGCAATACATACATAATGTATGCTGTTCCATAGATACTGAACTATTTTCCCCATTTCTTCTTATTAAATAACACATTTCTAGAAGTGGCTGATCTCTAGGGAAAACTGTAGTCCCAACTATTAACTGACTAAACTATCAGTAAGCATTAATAATAATAATG